GGTGTTACTGGCTACTTCTTTTAACCTCTGGTACCCTGAAGTTCGTTTAAATATTCGGTCCGTACTTCACAGGAAACACGGCGCCCACAGTACAAAAATCAACAGGCATGGACGCTGCTAGAATCTTTTTTTTTGGGGGGGGGGGTACCAGAAAATTTGCTTACAGATATTAAGCCGTTTAAGGTTTTTTTTTTTTCTGACCGCCCTAGAGCAGGGGTTCCCAAACTTTTGAGTTCGGCGAAGCTGCTTGAGAAATTTGAAATGAGAACAATATTAGTAGCGGAAAATATGGTGTCACATCATAGTCTACTCGTTCTGTCGTTCTGAATGGTGGTGGTGGTGATGATGATGATGATGATGATGATGATAAAGCAATCATTATTCAAATCTAACCTGGTAGATACAACACATAAATTGTAAAGTATATGTGAGAATGCGAGAAATGTGTAAAATTGAGAAAATCGGTCCATTAATTTTGTTTCTTTCTCAGAAATGGAGAGAAAATGGCCATTACCCGATTTGAGTGGCGAAACACGTTGGTCCACTTTAAGTGTTCCTTCAGAACATACTTTGGGAAACACTGCCGTAGAGTATTCAGTATGGAAGTATAATTTTTGTAAAAGATCATCTTATTTTTGATATGATATTCTGTATATTCTCGTGTTTTCTGATTACTCTTTCTACAAATCAAGGCGGGGACAGGTGACCCCTTGCTCGTGTCATTAGATTAATGTTGTTCAGGGAAATATACACGCTTCATTCGGATAATCACACTGAACACATAAATGCACTATGCAGGAGAAATGCCGAATTTTTACTAATGCACATGATGCCTATTTTGCTTTCAAGGATAACAGCAGGGATCCATAAGACAGAGATTCAGGGGTGAGCTGTAGCCCACAGCACTGTGCTGTATCCCCTGCTGGTTGTTAAAGTAGTTTGCTTGCTTACTCAGTTTACTCTTCTACCCTGAAGATGGAGGTAGTACGTATCTCCGAAACGTCTGTGAACTTCCGCTAGATAACAGGTACATTTCAGGAAACAGTGTGGCCATGAAGACTTTGAGATCTCACTAGGATATGATCTCTTAAAGTTTCACATATAGACCGAGCAGGCTAGCATAGCGGTAATGTTGTAGGCTAATATTCGGGAGGTTCTCAATTCGAATTTCTGCCAGAACACTGGCTCTTCTCAGGTTTTTTCGTAGTTTTCCTGCGTCCTTCTGGGCAGATTCCGAGAGAGTGCCTGGAATAAGCCACGGCCTCTTCCTTCGAAATCCCTTCAAGTTCATTAGTCCTCCTGTTCTATATAGCATAGCTACCGACGACGTCGCAAAATTGCCCACAGGGAGAAATTGCACGTATAATAAAGTCGCCACAAAAATGTATTGGGAAGTATAGGTACATCTCCACACAATTTTAATCCCAGCACTAGGTAAAGGCGAGTGGTGAGCGTAACCCCTCGGCTGCTTTCCCCCTTGTTACAACTTGGATAGGAGGCTGTGGGCCCTGAGCCGGCCCCCTGCTGGGGAGCGAATCCCGGTTCTTCGGCCGTGTAGCCCATAGTTAAGTCACTATAGTCGCTGAGCTACCCCTACTCCATTTGACATATTGTATAGATGCTCTGTTTAAATAATCACGTGTCACAGTATTTTGACCTGTGAAATAGGACGGTAGTTTTTCTTGGAATTTAGAATTATTATAGTATAAACATGGCCGATCACGGTGGCCGCGCAGTCTAAGGCATGAATCGTCTTCACTCGCTCGAACGCTGGGATCATGGGCTCGAATCCCGCTCAAGGCATAGATGTCTGTGTGCGTATATTCTGTGTGTGGGTAGCGACCTTGCGACGGGCTGATCCCCCGTCAAAGGAGTCCTACCGTCTATGCAAAAAAGATTACGAAACTGAAAAGGAGGCCAGAGCTCAACTAAGGGTTGTAGAGCCATTGGTGAATTAACAAATGATATAAACATGTGTTTAGCTATCGTGTTCAAGGTCGCCAAATGGCCCGCTCGTCCCCAGAATGTAACTTGGCTCGCTGATGCCGTGGGTCGAGCATTTGCAAGGTCAGCAGCAGTGGGGACGGTTTCTCTGCAGATAATTGCCAGGACTGCTTCTGTTCGGATGTATTACATTATCGACAATGATAATGTCACTATGACGAGGCCGGTGGTTCCTGATCGACAGTGAAGGATCACTCAACTATTACAGAAGATTGATGGATCGCTTAATATGCTCTTTCATTTTAGATCAGTCTCGTTTCCGATGGCGGAAGGGGGAGCGGGTTGCAGCTGAAAGGGTTTGTTTGTGTTGCATGGTAGCAGTTAAGATTACAGCCAGCTCTAAAATCAGATCATCGCTTGTTTCGAAATATAGGGGTCATAGCGGTGATCAATGTCATTAGAAAATCTGAAAAGGAAAACGTATAGAAGTAGATCGTAAAAGAAATAGCGTGTCCACTGGATTCGCCTGCCTCAGGATGTGATCCAATGGAAGGCTCTTGAGAACACGGGTTCCATATCAGTTGGGAATTTTCTGACTATCTGAGCGACTATCAGCTTGCAAGATAATCTGTTCTATGATATAGCTTCTTTCTTCTCCACCCCCTTTACTTAATCCGTCCCTTTATTTTCTCCTTTCTTTCATCTTCCTCTTTTTTCTTTGTTTTCTATAATTCTTCCCTTCTTTTTCACGCTTATTTCTTTTTGTGTCTTACTCTAGGTCATCTTCCCTTAATAAAATTGTATTTCAGCATCCCGTTGCATTAATGTATCACTTATACATGTTCACTTTCATCTTAAATGCAAATTGATTTACAATTACTCATTTCCGTTTCTTAATAGTGCAGGTTCTTGTCCTACCTAATGAAAGCCGTAAAGGTGCAGAACTGTCTTTTATCGGTTGCAGACATGGGCACCGACAGGGAGTTGGAAAATCAGGCATCTGCCTCAAATCAAAATTCTTAAAACAGTGAAATGTGTCAAATAGTAATACCGGAACATTTTGATTTTATTCATCTGTCCTGAATACTCTGGGATGAGCGGTAAAAATAGTCTTAAGCAGGTTAAAATTAATTTTGTAGGCAAATAATCTTGTTTATAATTAATTGCAGATTGATGTAATTGCTTTGCTAGAAGTGGACACACTCATCAGCCTTATTAATCGCTGTTATCAGATTATACGCTGCTAAGTCTATGCTATCAGCTTGGGCTACTGATAGCCACAAACCTTTTAGCCTCCAACATAAATTGAGATTACTTGAACAACCCAGTTGACTTCTAATAGTCAAGTCTTAGGTAAACAGTTTAATCTAAACGAGCTGTTTTCAAGTGCGTTTGGTAGGCTGATATTCAGACAGGCTGTATCGGGTTATGTCAAGTGTAAGTACCCCATCTCGGTGTATATAATGTAGTGTTATCAAAACAGCAAGCAACTTCCAGCTGCACCGCTAGCTGCTTGCAGTAGGCTCCATATTAGCAACGAAACATCCACGAGTCGCGATCACTCAGTCGGTATAGCGACTGGCAGCTGGCTTGACGTCCGAGGGGTCGGAGTTCTAGACCCGTTAAGGGCAAGATTTTTCTCTTCTCCACATAGTCCAGACCGGTTCTGGGGCCTACCCAGCCTCCAATCAAGTGGGTGCCGGGTGGATAAAGCGGTCGGGACGTGAAGCTGACGGCTCATCTTCAACTAGTACCGAGGTCAAGAATATGTGGATCTATACATCCACTCCCCCACACGTCTTCATGGCGTAGTGCTTAATTAGTTAAGCACAGGGACTTTACACTTTTTTTTCTTTACCTAGCAACGAAACATTACGAAACGAATGCGACTGTGCCTCTCATTATGCCTGTCCTTCTTTGCATCTGTTAATAACGCCTGAATGGATTTTCTTGAATTTTTTTTGGGGGGGGGGAACTCAGAGGGATGGCATAAGCATGACGTTCCGAACTCGTGTTTCGGAGGATTTCGCTTCGAATCTGGGCCGAGTTTCCCAACTTCCTCCAGGCAGATTCCGGAATAGTACCTTGAGTAGGTCACGGCTCTTTCCATCCAAATTATTTCCAGTTCGTCATTCATCAGGGATGCCGCCATTAGACGTTGTCCAGCGCAGATACCGACAGCGCCGTGAAGTTTTGTTTCTATTGCTAGTAGGGTGGGACTAAGTCCCTTGTACTGCGGCCACTTCTGGCCTATTGTACCAGCCTCAGATGATAGGTGAGGGTGATTGCGGATTTTCTTCTTTTTTCTTCTACCCTGAAGATGGAGGCGATACGTTCCTCCATAACATCGGTTAGCACAATATATACAAGGCGCCACATCCCAGAAGACTGCTTTCTTCATAGTCACCGCCGTCAGAACCTCAAATCTTGCACGTCTAAGTTTGTTTGTACCCGGATTGCCGTAGCGGACACTATACGGGAAGATGTACGTGCATTTCTGCGGGCATCTTGAGTACATCTTGTTCGTCACCCGTCACACACATATATGTATGGAGACAAAGATGACACGCTTTTCCCATCGATTTAACCCTTCTGTATATCTGACGGTTTTCTAAAACACGAACTTTGTGCCGTACGATATCACCTGACTGGTTTGGGCGCGGTTTATATGAACGGAAAACAAGTTTGCGTTGACAAATTTATAATTACAGAGCAGACGTACCATAATTATTACTCTGTGCCAACATTTCCAGAGTTTGTTGGATTTGTGGCTCTTTCAGCCGTGACTGTGTAGAGTAGCCCTGCTGTGTTATGGACTGCGCCGCCTTGTAGTCCAATAGAAGTTCGTTAATATCTCGGAGAAGAATATTGTCTCCATCTTCAGAGCCGAAGATGCACGCACTAAGCAATCAACGATCAGGATCTTTTTTCTTACTCGTTGCTAAATAGCACATAATGAATAATTCAATCATTATGACAAGAATGCATATAAATCGCCTGCCTTTGTATTTATAAATATTTAGAAACATATTTAACACACAAGACTTGAGGATTACCATATATCCGGAGATGTCGTTTCCATACAACCCAGTCTTCTCGTGTTTCGTGGAAGTAGCAGTTCTGCTTCCAAGGAAATGAAGAATCAGCCCAGAATATTGACTGGCAATAAGGAATTGTCGAAGGCGTCTTCATCAGTTAAAGTATTACTGGAAGTTGAATCATGTGACTGGCTGCCATCCATTCTAGACTTCGACTGAAAATCAGAAGTGAATATTAAGCGTAGGCCATTAGTACAGCTTCTATCTATATGTAACCCTTTATATGGCAATGGTAAGTGTTGGCATTGAATGTTCTAACGTTGTGTAACACATCCTTCTGTCCACATTGTATATTTAATTGTCCCGTATGGTTCTCACAATAAACAGCGATTATTTCCCTAAACAGCATTAACCGGTTGGGCTTTGTAGTGGAGACGTAATGTGTTTCCTGTGAGGTATGGACTGAATTTATATATAGTGCATTCTGCCCACACAGTGTATTTATGTATTCCGTATGGTTCTCACAATAGACAGCGTTTATTTCCCTAAACAGCATTAACCGGTTGGGCTTTGTAGCGGAGGCGTAATGTGTCTTGATGTTTCATTGTAGTTATACTGACAATTGTAGGTAGAATGCAGACAATTCCTGCTGCCCTTTAAAGGGTTAATTAAATAACTGTCTAGTAGAAAAATTCTATACAAACAAATGTCTCATAATACGTTAGCAAATGTGCAGCAAGTGTTTTACTTAATTAGAAATGAGCACTTGAAGATAGCAAGTTGGAACACTCGTGTCAGTCCAACTGCAAGGGGTAACCTAGGCGACAAACCCAATTTTACATCCATACAAACCAACGGGTAAAATTTATTTTTTATGCCTGATATTCTTAGTTTTGGGGATAGGAAAGTAGAAAGATAAGCCAACATAGACTGAACGGCAGCAAGCAGACATGAATGCACCTAATTTTATTGATTTGTTACTGTCTTTCGAAAATACAGTAAACCCTCGCCAATCCGGTTACAGTTAATCCTGATGTCGGATAATTCGAATCTAAATACAAAAAGAAATGGAAAATGCTCTTCACAATTGAATACATACTTTAAAGACACACGACAATTAAGACGCAGATGAGTCACTTGTCTGTTCAGACAAAACTTGACAGTTTCTTCAGACTTGCATTATATTACGTCCAAAAATAAGTACAACTTCTAAGTCTTCTATCGATGAATAAATGTATCGTCTTTTTATATTTTTTAAATAAAGCTCTACAGTGATATTTTGTATTTATTTTCATCAGCACTACTTATTTTATTACGTTTTTCATTTATTTATATTCTAAGATTTTGTCTCTCTCAGGGCTTCCTCTTGTTTCACTAATCCGGATGACCTTCCCCAGTTACTTCCAATTAGCGAAGGTTTACTGTGCTCGAACTTTGCCGAAATTTGAAAGTATTTCATTTGCTATCGCATTATGAATTTGCTACCTATTTTTGTCCTTTGCTGTGTGAAGCTGTTAGTAGCTGATCTATATAGCGTCGAGCGGTACGATGGTGTATTAATAATGAACTGGAAAAGATTTGAAAGGAAACGGTCTTGGCTTAGTCTAAGTTCATGTCAGTAATTACCTGGAGGAGCGGAGGAAGACTACAGGAAACCTCAGTTAGGGGAGCCTGTGTTAGGTCCGGGATTCGAATCGACTACCTCCCGAATACCGCTACACCAGCTCACTCGGTAAAAGTATGTTCTACGTTAAGAATAATGTAGAGAGGCGCATGCAGGAAGTACATAAAATGGACGCATTAAGGGGAGTTCGCTTACTGTCTCTCAGATTTCGTGTTTCAGTTTTGAAATTACTGATCGAATTTCGATTAAATTTAGTTGTGCAATATAATTTGTGAATCTAATTTGATTTCGGTTCCTAAGCCGAAATCCATTTTTTTAGGAATGCCTAATTTTATTAAATGTTTGTACGTAATTTGGAAGAAAGTAATTAAAATTAATTCGCTTAGTGGGGGGTGGAGTCCAACTGGGTCCACTCGGCACGGCGGCCACTGATTGGCCTATTGTAGCCTGCCCCGAGTGATTATGATGATTGAGAATTTCGTGGGGAAACCGAAGTACTCGGAGAAAACCCACCCCAGCGACACTTTGTCCACCACAGATCCCACTTGACCAGACCCGGGATCGCACCCGGGCCTTTGGAAGAAAATATCTCTTTAATCTATTAGACTCGGTCCACGATCGCTTCCTCTCACATATATCCAATACAGCGTCATTAAACAAACTGTAAAGAAATAAAATAACGTGAAAAGTCGTTAAGTGCTCTCTCTGTGGCTGAATGGAACAGCCTGTACGTGGGCAGAGGCCAGAGCTAATGGCTCAGATAAGAACTGTATAATAAGGATGTGAACGCCCATATCTTGTACAAGACTAGGTCCCCCCCCCCATCCGCTGCTAGGAAGTGAGATACAGTCTGTGAAAATACTTCATCAAGTAATTACTCTATTTAATAGTCTACAGCAGGCAAGCTGTCTTGGCGGTAGCGCTTCTGAGTTGCGTTCGTGATATGTCCGGTTCGACTCTTCCCCTGGGTACCGACTGTATTGGTTGAGGTATTTCGTGGTTTTCCTCACTGTATTCCAATCATTCGACGCTATATCGCCTGGGTTACTGAGGCCATCGTTAAATAAATAATAGCTGTTCAGATACTTGCCGTGTTCGTCCGTCTCCACTTTGCGCGTCGGTTCTGGAACCAGGTTTTAACCTGCAGAAGAGAATACATTAGGTTTGTTAATACTGTTTGCGGATCAGAGCTTCCGCGATTTTATATTGTCACGTGTAGGGGTAAATATTAGACGGGTTTTGGATTGGAAACTGGATTTATTGCGCTCATACACTCAACTCATAACTACAAGTGATAAATCACTATCGTTGATCTTCATTAGTCGTATCCTGGCAACGGATTTCAACACAGTAATTATACCAGTCTCACTGTAACTGCAGCACACATGAAGTGTTATTTCACAGCGTAATTGCTTTCTTGCAATCTCTTCTCAGTCATTCAACTGCCATATCAAGAGACTCTGTCAATGATTCTAAGCTGGCCTGGGATCCTTGTTATATGTGCTCGGGACAGATCCAACAGAAAGCACCGTTGCCATCGTTATAGTTCAACAGTAACTCTGTTGTTGCTTGTTTATTCGTTTCCGGGGGAATTAGCACTGAACGTCTACTCTGGCAGCGCTATTCTGGCTTTCAGGCGTCATGTTACAATGTTATGGGAGAAAATGAATCGTGAATTAGATGTAATGTAAAGGGTAAAAAAAGTAAAAGTAAAAAAGTAAAGGTATCCCAGTACCAAGTCGTGAAGGCCCATAGGGTTGTGAGACGTTGAGGGTCCCACATTATCTAGACAATCGGCTCAAAGATGGCGGCAAGGTTGTCAGCCTTACGCGTCGGCCGCGCTTTTCTCCCCAGGAAATTTATTTAATTAATTCCTGGTACTCATCTCTGTTAGAGGCTGAGTCGACCCCAGGGCCATAGTGCGGCTGGAAGGATTAGGTCAATTGAAAAAATTCAATGACCTCATCGGGATTTCAACCCGCGACCTTCCGGCTTGTAGCATAGTGCCTCAACCAGCTACGCTACCGCGTGCCCCCTGTAAAGGGTGGAGTAGAAATTTTTAAGTTGAATTTGAGGTCGTCACAGCGCTGTCGGCTAAGGGTACTGTTTTCGGGGCTATGTCTCCGGTAGGATTTCAACAAGTACCGGGCACTGCGGCGTTACAGCCCAGAGGTTGGTACCCTTGAAATGTTTTGAAGAATTCTATGTTGGATTTGAGACTCTCGCATTGGTGACTACGGCTTCGACTTTTGGAATGTGACGCCCTCTAATCCTGTTGGCTTTCACTGACCCTGAAGATGAAGGCAGTAGGTTCAACCGAAATATCGGTGAATCTCTACCAGAATACATGGCGGCACATCCAATGTGAGCAGTCATTCAGATTAATAAGACGAAAGCCTTAGAATAGTCACCTGTCGGTCCGATAGCTTGAGCTGGGCTGCAAGGTTATGCCTCTCCTCGGGGCTGAGGTACTTGTGTTCGCTGAACCGCCCTTCCAACGTTGAGGTCTGTTGAGTGGAGAACCTCACTTGACCGCCTTTCCTCTTGTGACCGTGATGTCTTGTCAGAACGGTCAGCGAGTAGTTAGGCATCACTGCCCAACAGCGCCCGAACCCACCTGCAGAGTTTGAGGTTCTCAATTGCCGTACATTGCAATTAGGATTGGATTTGAATTAATATCGACCCTATTTAAGAAAGTCCAAGAAGGAAATAAAGGAAATAGTTTCGGGGATAACAGATGAATAAAATGCATATGTAATATATTAACATAAACATATGAGATATTTCCTTAAACTAATAAATGAGAAGTATTGTACATTAAGAATGAAGAATTCGTCCATCTTATAACACGTTAAAATCAAGTCAGTGTTTCAGATATTAATATTTTTATGAGGGTTCAAATGAAATTTGTTCGCGGCGCTGCTAACGACAGCGGATTTCGGGTGATTACCGCTGATGCTGATGTTCAGTGAAACCTGACGTCAACACTAGCCAATGATCGTGGGATTCCTGCCTCCTCATCCATGGCAACTATTTTTAACGACCCCTCCACCTTCGCCCAGAACAATACCTGAACGGGTTTCATTTAAACAAACTTCTTGTATAATCCGAAAATCGAAATAATTTAATGGCATATTAAGACTGAGTTGAGTCCTTCATTTGGATGGGGGGGGTCCAAGACGAATGACCACTTACTTTCAATAACTAGGGGACACGCAGACCTAAGTACCGGAACAGAAGATAAAGTATGGCGGAAGTTATCGGGCGAAGTTTAATGTTAGGGTGGGAGCGGCTGGTGCTCCGGGGTCGAAGGGTCGGCCGTTTTGGGGTGGCCGCTTCCACTGGACCTGCCATACGTCTTACAGCCCTTCGCAGTGTTCGCGGTGCACCAATGCATATGGCGACGGTTTGAAAGGGTTCCAGAAGTCACAACAGCACCAGAACTGCATACTGTCTGTAAGTAGGCAACCTAAAGCAAGGTGCAAGGGCCGAGGAGGCCTACCCCTCATACATTCAAGTAGGCAATCTTACGGAAGGAAAGTCCCTGTTCCCATCCTGTTGAGAATAGGATCTGGTCACTTTATAATTTGGGGGGTGTTTTACGACTCTGTCAGTATATGGACACTATAGTAGTGATTCATGAGTTATGAATGGAAAAGGATTTGGAAGGGAACAGTTGTGACCTGGAGTCGGTATAGCGACATGATAAGGGATTGATGGACGAGGTGTCGGAGTTCGAGTCCCAGTAGGGTGAAGAACTTTTTCTTCTCCACGTCGTCCAGAGAGGTTCAGGGGCCCACCCAGCCTCCTCCCCAGTGGGTACCGGGGGTTAAGCGGCCAGGGCGTGAAGCTAACCACTCACCTCAATCTGGTGCCAAAGTCAAGAAAATGTGGATTTATACATCCATTCCCCCATACGCCTTCATGGCATAGTGCGTAATTAAGTTAAGCACAGTGATAAATCTACCGTCTTTACGGTGGTGGCCTAACCGATGTACCATACAGACACAGATGGGAGGGCTTGAGTAAAACCATTTAGGATAGCTCGCGTCCCGGCCTAGATATGAACCGAGTACCTCCCGAATATAAATGTAAAATAAGGAAGCCACTCCTAATCGGCTGTTTAATTTAACCGGCTTTGTTGCTTCCCTTCCATTTATAGTTTCTCCTTATCGGATACTTACAGTCTGCGTGTGTATCATCCCTGGGATTGGAAATGCAGTAATACTTGAAACAATTTCCGGGCAATGAACAAAGATTTTCCTGTATAACTTCCTGAAGACAGGAAGTGGTGTAATCACGTGACAAAGAGGGAAATGCTGGCTTTCCGAGAATTAGTTTGTTTTAGGCGCGTTCCCAATGACAGGGCGCAAACATGCTCCTCTTACCTTCAGAATATGTCTGTGTGTCCGCATATGGAGACTCTAGAAGCACTGAACGGATTTTCATGAAATTTAGTGTTATAAACTTTTAATAGAATTTATTGACCTGTTAACAATTTCAATTATAATTGGAACAGACAACGTACACGTTGAATTTAACGTTCTCGCCGCAGTTACTATGAACACCGTGTAGCTCGGAGGGAGCCCCAAGTTTCGGAGAAATATTTCGCCTCCATCTTCAGGGTCGAAAATAAAACCAAGCAAGAACCCAATGGAAGCAGGCGATAAGCAGCTGAGCTCTTATGTTGGTTTCTGGTATTGCTTGATGATTGATCCTGAAGGTGGAAGCTGTATGTTCCTTCGAAACTTTTGGCTGTCACACTATATGATAGGCATGTCCAACTTCAAACAGGTTGTGATCGACTTTTTAGTGTCAGTGATGTACCACGCCCTCCTATAGTCGTACCTCGCTTTAAGCAAAAATATTGGTAAAAATAACACGATACATGTTTGTTGTAAAAGCATCATACATTGAAAGTACAGACTTACCTTGTTCGTTAAGAACAGAAAAATAGGAATGACTAATACATATTTTCCCTTCAAAATCTGAATATAATCATATTATATTACAAGTGAATTTACACGATTTTCACGTATAATTTCCTTATAGGCCTATGAGATCGACCAAAAATTGTCCCGCGATCGACGCGTTGGACATGCCTGCTATACGGTGTTACAAAACAGAAAATCGTTAGCTTATATCTGCACTGATTATTTTATGGTTACATTTCCCAAATTTGTATGTCAGCAAACAAAATGCGTTTTCTGGTAACAGTATGAACGTGTAAATGTTATCTGAAGCCTTCTGATATGCCATACTTGTATGCATGGCTAAGACCTGTGTGGATTAATTTAATGGGAGATATGTTCAGTCTTATCGACTGGTATTTTAATTCTCAGGGAAAGGGGTTATCATTGGCTATAAAGACAATGTGCTTAATTCTGTAACCCTGAACTTCAGAGGATTCTGGGCGTAACAAGATTGTATGCTATATACGTGAAGGGCGTGCAGTTTGAGAGCTATTACTGTCTTCTCGAGAAGGATTCCAACATTTATGTTAACTTATCTTGTTTTTCTAAGGCTAATCCTTTATAGCACAACGGCAACTATAGGTACCACATGCTTCAATTTTAACTACAACTTCAGAAACTCTACATTCTGCCCACGCAGTGCAGTTATGTGTTCCGTATGGTTCTCACAATAAACAGCGATTATTTCCCTAAACAGCCTTAACCGGTTGGGCTTTGTAGCGGAGACGTAGTGTGTTTCCTGTGAGGTACGGACTGAATTTATATATACTGCATGCTGCCCACACAGTGTATTTATGTGTTCCGTATGGTTCTCACAATAAACAGCGATTATTTCCCTAAACAGCCTTAACCGGTTGGGCTTTGTAGCGGAGACGTAGTGTGTTTCCTGTGAGGTACGGACTGAATTTATATATACTGCATGCTGCCCACACAGTGTATTTATGCGTTCCGTATGGTTCTCACAATAAACAGCGATTATTTCCCTAAACAGCCTTAACCGATTGGGCTTTGTAGCAGAGACGAAATGTGTTTCCTGTGAGGTACGGACTGAATTTATATATACTGCATGCTGCCCACACAGTGTATTTATGTGTTCCGTATGGTTCTCACAATAAACAGCGATTATTTCCCTAAACAGCCTTAACCGGTTGGGCTTTGTAGCAGAGACGTAATGTGTTTCCTGTGAGGTACGGACTGAATTTATATATACTGCATTCTGCCCACACAGTGTATTTATTTGTTCCGTATGGTAAAGTAAAAGTAAAAAAGTAAAGCTATCCCTGTACCAGGCCGTGAAAGCCCATAGGGTTGTGAGACGTTGAGGGTCCCACATTATCTAGAAAGTCGGCTCAAAGATGGTTGTCTGCCTTACGCGCCGGCCGCACTATACAAGTAAACAGCGATTATTTCCCTAAACAGCATTAACCGGTTGGACTTTGCAGCGGAGATGTAGTGTGTTTCCTGTGAGGTACGAGCTGAATTTTTATTTCGAATATCGACCGGGATACCTGCTGTAATGACTGAGGGTTTTCGTGATTTTCGGAAGTATTACCATCCAAATATCGGTACAGTGCCTCGCGTATGCAACAATCGTTTCCTTCCAAATCTTTTCCAATTCATTACTCATTATCATCTTACCATTCTCCGCTATGCCGTGTAGCTACTTATAGCGCCAACAAGATAGAATTCAGAGAGTTAAATAACACATTGCAGTAGCTTAAGATGCTTCAACATATCTGAACACGCAGGCTTATAGCATTCGAGATCCTTCTGTTAAGTGGATAATGGAAAGCTATATTTTCTCAGAACGTCAGCCTATATAGTAGACATGCCCCGGGCTCCGCTGTTCAGTCCTAGGTGACTATACGTAAGATCATGGTATAGGAAGGGGCACTGCAGTGCTTTCTTCTCCGAGGTTCTTCAGGTTTCCCCTGCTAATCATGTTTCTACCATTACCCCACACTCATCTCTCACCGTCCGCTGGGTGAGCGATACCCTGACCAGGCAGCACATTAGTACATGCTCATCCTTAAAACTGGGGTCTTCATCTATGTCCCGGCAGTTGGGTAGTCACGGAATTAGCAGTCAGTCAGCCGCTTATTAGGGTGATCAAATCAAAGAGGATGAGATTGGTAGAACATGTATAATGCATGGGAGAGATGGGAAATGATACAAAATTTTGGCCGGAATATATGAAAGGAAGAGGCCGTATGGGAGATATATCAATAGATTTCGAGAATAATATAAAAATTGAGCGTAAAGAAATCAGAGGGTGTGGACTGGATTCATCTGTAACTGAGGATGGGGGTCCAGTGACGGGCTCATGTGAAACCTCTAATGAACCACGGGGTTTCGTAACACATGGGAAACCTCATGAGTATCTGTGCGATTATCAGCTTGTCACAGAAGACTCTCCTCTGTGGTGTTCGTTAGAATTTAAATGCGTCTATGATTTGTACGTAATACTGACATCTTGATAGGATGTAAAAACTTTGAAATCTGTGCTACACAGGCAGTAGCAGTATTTGTGAGGTCACAGAGAACACTTCAAATTCACATACCTATGCAACGAGGTTCCTCCATCAGCGGGTCTGTCAGAGGCTGGCTGTGACGCTGATGTGAATATTCGTGTATTCTCAGTCTATCTTCTGTTATAAGTCCATCACTCACATAGACGCCTCGCGCCGCTGACGTTGGTGTTGGCATCCTCGCCATGTCTGAAGTATGATGTAAAGATGACACTTGGTTAAGATAAACAGGCGTCGGTCTGGTTGGCCATGGAGAGTCCCCAGAGTCTGAAGTCTTTGTTGGTGAGTGCTGAAGTATGTCTTCTATTAAAAACGAGGCCTTAGGCCGACAACACATTGTAATTTATAGAGCGTTCTTTTGAAAGGACGTAGATCTTTGTCTCACACAAATTCACTCTAAAATCATCGGCGGCAGTACTGATGTCTTACAAATTCATTTCTCATATCGGAGGTAAAAACTAATTGAAATGTTTTGCAGTCATCTGAAAGTCACACTTGGTTAGCTAAACACACCCCCAGCAACCCTGGGTTCAGACATGCAAGTGGCCGAATGACTGCGCTAAATTGTGCAGCTCAGGAAACAGTGGTCGCCTCCAGCTACTGTCGGTTTGACTTGTTCAGTATATCTCTTATCGGCCGGCAATTGTTTCCTCTTCATGGAGTGTCAAGTGGATATAGAGGCCTACGCTCTGATAAGATTGTAAGACAGTTCCCTCCCCTCTTGCGTTCAGTTTAATGCACCAACTCCTGGTAATTCCTAGCAGACTGTCAGACCAGACGTAACTTGTGTCTGTCACACAGGAGGCTGACGTCGCGGTATCGCTTTTGTTCGTCTACGGAAGGTGCTGGGTGCGAATCTTGACTGGGGTATCAGTTATTCTGAGGTCTCTGGTTTCCCGCTGTCTCACTCGGATAATTTCGGGATAATAGCGAGATTAGGTCACGATCATTTCCTTCCAAATCCTTCCAGGTTCATAATTTATCCATCATCCTGTCAGCTACTGACGGCGTTGTAAATAATGCACACAGAGTACTTCTGGTTATCATGGCAACCAGCGTCAGTCTGCAAGATGGGCTGCCATTAACTTTGTCTGCAATTAATCTTGTGATTCAGTGGGACAAATGCATTGTTATCTTACGGTGAGCAAATGCCCACATCTCGAATACTGTAACCTCCAAATAAGCGCTTATAAATAGTATGTCTAGAGTGGTATAGCATCTTTCACATTACCCCAAAATGGCAGACAAATATTTTATTTTTGGAATTACTGGGTTTGGGGACTTCGTCGGTATTCTAAAACCTAAAGAACACAACGTTTCGGAAACTGGATATATTTCCGTCCTAGCGTGAGGCGGGAGACACCTGCTCTGTTGGGTCCCTTCGAAAGAGCCAACCTCGACCACTGGTCCAGTGATTGAGATTAGCACTTTCTAAGGGACCCAACAGTATATATACATCTCCCGCCCATTCGCCTGAGGACGGAAACAGATCCAGTTTCCGAACGTTGCGTTTTATAGTATTTTCAAATACTGGACGATGGACAGAGTCCAAAATCCCAGTAATTCTGAGAGTTATACACCATCGTCAGACCCCTTTGGAATCTATTTGGTTGTTGGCTTTAATACTTGGATCGGCAGTTGGCATGTAGACAAGCGACAATCAGATTATTTTAGAGGGAAATTACATGCAGTGCACGTGTCCCTGTTTTGCAACATGGATCGTGCATTAATGCACGTGCGGCAACGCTTTCCAACATTGGAAGTTGTTGCCTCTTTACGGACGGCAGAGTTAAAATGCATTAAGCAAGTTCAGTAACGGAAAAATATTTTCAATAAAGAAAAAACAAAGCTATCCCTGTAACAGGCTGTGAAGGCCCATAGGGTTGTGAGACGTCGATGCTCCCACATTTTCTAGAAAATCAGTTCACAGATGGCGGTGAAGTTGTTACCCTTACTCGCCGGCCGCCCTTAACCCCCAGGAAGATTCCTGGTACTCATTTCTGTTAGAGGTTGAGTCGATCCCAGGGCCATAGTGCGGCTGGAAGAATTAGGTTAACTGAACAAAAAATCCACTGACCCCATCCGAATCAAACCGACGACAGTGAGTGCAGCCATTAACTTAACATTCTGAACTCGTACTTAATTGTAGCATACTTCACGAGCGCTATATTTTCATCATTGAATTTGGGTATTAATAATAATAATAATAATAATAATAACACTATTATTATTATTATGTTTAATTATATGCATTAATTTTTCTTCCAGTATTTACCTTTAATTAATGGATCTTAGAGATAGGATGAGATGGGATGGTATGGATTGGATTGTTCTCGCTCAGGATAAGGACCAGTGAAGGGCTCTTGTGAACACCTTAATGAAACTTCGGGTTCCATAAAATGGTGGGAAATTCTTGAGTAGCTGCAGAATTGGCGGCAGAAGGGATCAGCTCCATGAGTAAGAATTTTTTATTGCTAGTGGGGTGGGACTAAGTCTCTTATACTGCGGCCACTTCTGGTCTATTGTACCCATATGATAGGTGAGGGTGATTATGGAGCAATTGGTGGAATGAAGATTGGCAGGGGAAACCGAAGTACTAGGAAAAAACCTGCCCCAGCGCCACTTTGTCCATCACAAATCCCACTTGACCAGACCCGGGATCGAACCCGGGCCGCCGCGGTGGGAAGCCAGCGACTAACCGCTTGAGCTATGGCGCGGCCCGAGTAAGTAAGTAAGTAAGTAATTTACCATTAATTATTCCTTGACTTAATGTTGTGTTTGCCCAGTATGTAACTACTTCAATCTACACTGTGCTGAGCCTGTAATTGGCCTTGCGGCTGTTGGCTCAGCACATAAATAATAAAGAATTGAATTGAATTATTATTATTACTCTCTGTCGTTTATTTTACGAAGCTGTCAGTGTCAGGACTCTATAGCGTTGAATGGTAGGATGAACTAGTCGTGATGAATTGGAAGCTATATGGAAGAAAGGAGTCTCGGCGTAATCGAGATGTCATCCCTTTTATCCACGAAGAGTGACTGAGGAAAGGAACGAGTATCATCAGAGAGAANATAAACTAAATTTGGCCCTCGAGATGTATTAGGTTGGCCAACGCTGGTCTAGAACATTACTGCTGCACCAATCTGCTCAGTAATCACAATTCAATTAAATTATTATCTTATTTATGCGCTTATGCAGCATCCAAAAGGCCAATTAGAGACTAAGCACGAGAAAAGGAAAGAAATATAACAAACGTAATACATAAAAGCAATGACAAAACAAGGCAACTTATGTTGTTTAGTCAACGATAACAACTCCATTAATGGAACCGCGCCTAGCATTACTTTCTGAGAAATACAAGTTCATGTATATGCACCTTTCATCTTGAATACAATTAATATATTAATAATTAAGAAAGTCTTGGTTATAAAATATGATTAAGAGAAACCGTTTTGATTCCAAATACGTCAGGAGTCGCTACGGACGACATTAATAACAAGAACAACAGTTCAATTCAGTTCCTTTTTTAGACTGCTTGTCAACAGCAGAGAGTATGCACTATAATTACAAATCTGGAATCAACTTAAAAACTATAGCAAAACAATTGAAATGACAAGTTAATAATGGAACCAGGGAAGACAGAACGCGCCATCAGGAGACATTTGTGTTCATCAGCAGATGCTCTTCGCAGTTGTGACACCTATGTAGATGCACTGAAGCATTACTTGCATTAAATTGTGATGATGATGATGACGACAATTTTCGCCTGTATTTATGATAGTGATGACATAAATCCATTACTTATAAAGCAGTAAATTTATTACTTATTGAGTGATGGCAGAAAGTTGAGCTTATAACAAAAATTGTCACGTTTTAGACAAATGGAGGTAGACAAAACAGGCGCGCATGGATATGGAATCTGGTTAAGAGTTATTGCATTGTTTTCATCCTTTAGAATCTGAAACCCACGTATAATACGTAATTTTCTCCAGGTTGGTGGTCTTGATTGCTTTATCCAGTTCCAATATGATCGAAATAGTTTATTATCGGGGTTTTTGCAACACCAGGCTGTAGTTACGTCATTAAACGTGTATGACCACTATATACGACCACAAGCCGCCAGGACTAAAAGCATGTCAATTATTTTTATCGCGTTTATTTCCCATTAAGGAAATTGTGGGCACTATAAAACATCAATACATCACTACATGGCTGACGTACTGCATTTAAACACAGATCAATCATGTGTGGAATATGGTTTACTCTTCTCATGTTAGTTGCATATAATGAACGTTTTCTGCTGCTATTATTATTATTATTATTTATTTTTTTTTTTGGCAGATTGTCAAAGCCATACAGAACTGTAAGGTTTCTTATTTTGGACTCTATCAATCGTCTGGTATACATAAGACAAAAAAAAAAACACAACGTTTCGGAGACTGGATCTGTCTCCGTCCTCAGGTGGATAGGGCAAGATAGACCTACTCAGTTGGGCCAGTTAGAAAGAGCTGGTCTCAATTACTGGACCAGTCACAGTACCAACTTGCATGTCATTTGAGGTTTTCATGAAGATCCGATGTTTCGGAAGATACCCCGTAGTTGGATGAAATGGATTCCTCCCGAATCGGCTGTAACCACAAATTAATCTAAATGATAACTTACTTTAATAATGAAGTTAGCATTTATGCATGTCCTCTGGTATTTACCGAGCAGGTTAGCTCAAGTGCCAACACGTTGGATACATATTCAGAAAATGCNTCTAACGGACCCAACAGAATAGGTGTTCCCCTTTTCCTTCACCTGAGGACGGAAACAGATCCAGTTTCCGAAACGTCGTGTTTTTGTTATCTTAAAAACTAGGACGATGGATAAAGTCCAGAAACCCAATATATCAGTGTGTTATACACCATCGTCAGAATCCTATAGTAACTACTTAGAAAATGCTGTGTTCGAATCTCGTCCGGGACACAGACTGTCCTGATTGATGTTTTTCATTATTTTCCTCGGTCCTTCAGAGTAAATTCCTGGACTGTAAATTATTCAGGCCACGACCGCTTCCTTCTGCATCATTTGAAATTCATCATTCGTCTGTCATGTTATTATTCATCGTTTTACACATTTTCACGTGTAGAGCGTGAATGTAGACGGGGTTTGGATTGGTGATTGGATTCAGTGCTCACTTCAACACACAGCTCGTGAATGCACTTTACAGTTCACTGTTACACACACACTAGTGTTCTCAGTTTGTTACAGTCTCCACCCTTTTTTCCTGGTAACGGCTTCTAACAGTGGAGATTATTCAGCGTCTGTGTTCACGTCGTTACCCGCTGGATAATACCTCACAACTCTCAACTGCACCGACTAAGTCTTCTCTTCACAGACTCACTACACGACTGACTGCAGCTCAGAGTCGGAGTCACTTTATGACTGGCGGTGTACCGTCAGTCAATTTATCTTGGCGTCAAGCCTCTTGAGATTCACCATCAGCATTTTTTTTTTCGATTGAACACTTACGGTTACATTCCTTATGTAACATCCTCTCTTACGAGAGAATGAATCTGTCCTTTACAC